TTTAAAATAGCTTTTATTGTCTTAAATTTTTTTTTTTTTTTTAATTTTTGTATTTTGTAATCTTTTTTTTTATCACTTTTTTTTTCCACTTAACTTTATTGATATTACTCGGGATAACAAGCCCCTATGTGATATCATTTGGAGGTGACAGGTTCTCTTTATGAGTCTGCCTGTAGGGATCTCACTGCAAGATACAAAATACAATTTATTAATTAAAGTAGACAGAATACTTTTCTGTAAATAAACTCCGCTCTTTACTTCCCAAAAAATCTAAATCTAAAACATTAAGAAATGTGCACATTACATCCCTAAGCAAATTATAAAGTCCAAGACAGCACTATTTACATTAAACAGAAATATACAAAACATTCAAAGTGCAATATGATCAACAAAATTCCGCTTGATTCTTCTGTGCTTTCGACACCCTCTGCCTTGGAAAGCGGCTCACCCAATATTATGACCCCCAAATAAACGTAAGGTCAAACAACACTTAAATGTGTGCATCTCTACTGATCCATTTTGAGACCGGCTCTTTCGACAAATAATTTTAACGAAAGCTGTATTTAACCATGCTAAGAAGCGTTTCTGCGCTGACCAATGAGTGAAATTAATGGTAAAAGCCGCGCTGTGTGAATGAGACCGCAAAGTGTCAGATATAGTAGATGCTGACCTTGGAGTAATGTGATACAATGTGTAAAAAGTGCAAAACAAAAAAGAAACGCATTTATATAACATGCACCTTAGTGTAAAAGTAATTGCTACAAAATATCCATAATGAAAAATCAAATGCACTAAATATTAACTGTGAATCAATGTGATGACACTACGAGTTTCCACTTTTTATTTTATTTGATGCATGGGCCTATTCGGATGAACTGTCTGTTTCCAACTCCTGAGACTGCAAGAGTCTGTACCTGAGACCTGTTTTGAATTAGAGGAACAGCGCATACAGACCCTGGTGGGTCTCTGCTAAAGGTGAGGTGCATTCCAGAAGATTTCTTTGTTGATGGTCACAGGAGACTAAGTTTATTCTACATCCAATGTTTTATCTTCTATTTACTTAATGGACTATTGAAGATCCAGGATCATGGACATTTTTTAACCATTTATTATTTTCACTGGAGTGCAAGTTACACACATGCGTTTTTCTTGTCGGTATTCTTTGCACATTGCATCACATTGATTCACAGTTAATATTTAGTGCATTTGATTTTTCATTATGGATATTTTGTAGCAATTACATTTACACTAAGGTGCATGTTATATACATGCGTTTCTTTTTTGTTTTGCACTTTTTACACATTGTATCACATTACTCCAAGGTCAGCATCTACTATATCTGACACTTTGCGGTCTCATTCACACAGCGCGGCTTTTACCATTAATTTCATACCTTATATCTGACCACACAGATTTCAGCTGCTGCTTAACTTGATTAGAGTAGTGGCGCGAGGTTTCACATCATTGACCAATGAGTGCTCGCAATTTGCCAGCGAAATTCAAAATCCATAGCGCAGGGCTGCACTGGGCAGCAGCATGGGGTACAGACTGTGCACTCATACCGGTGGAGAGGAAGGGCTGTTCGCTGAAAGGTAAAGGTGGCCATACACTCTACAACCATCGCAAGACTTTAGTCTTGCGATGGTTGTACAGGGATTAAAAAAACGTACGATCTGCCTATCTTGGACAGGCAGATCGCACTCTCGATCTGAGGGGCGGGCTTCCGATGACCGCAATGCTGAAACTTACCCTTTATGCACATTGTGCGTGTTAGAGAGCACTGCTGTCCTAGCACCACAATTTGGCGCACAGTGGAATGGGGTAGCACTCAGTGCACACACACATTCAATGCCCTGCGTGTGCATTTATTTGCATGCAGATGGCGGGGTTGGTTATAATTTTTTTTCATGTTTATTTATTTTATAATTTTAAAATTTTTATCACTTTTTCTTTATTTAATTTTTTATTTATCTTTTTTTGTAAAATATGTTTTTTTGGGCATTTGGGGGTGACAGGTTCTCATTATGGAAGCTGTGACCTCTAATACAGAAGTTTGAGCACACGATTGTGCTTGATCTTCTATGACAGCTGAGACAGGAAGGCTGCGAGTACAGCTTTCCTGTCTCAATCCGCTCTGCTCCCTGCTCTCCATCTTGATGTAATCTGCCATGGTCCCAGGAAGAGCAGGGGACCCCGAAAACCATGGTGGGGATAGAGACGGCTGGTGAGGTGATGGACCATGGAGGGGGTCCGGCGGGGGGAAGGGACAAACAGGCTGCTTACAAGTGATCTGGGCAGCTCTACAGCCACCCAAGATCACTTGTACAAATCGGCTGCCCTGCTTTACATTTAGCCCTTCTGCTTGCACAGCAGGGCTAAATGTAGAAGAAAAACACCTGCCCGGCACCCGGAACTGCATGTCCCAGGCATCAAGTGATAGGAATTGCGCACCCCTGACTCATCTGAACCATGGAGCCAGTTTCTGCTGGACTGGTCCCTCAAGCCATGCTCTCCCTCCGCTCTGGTGGTCTAAGATCCTAGCAGCCAGCCAGCTCCATGGTTCAGGTGAGTATATTCTTTTTATTTTCATCCCTAGATGAAAACGAGCATCTAACCCTTGAAGTGCGGGACTTGCGCCACTGCAAGGGTTAAGAAAATTTGTGTCTGGAGTTCTGTTTAGCCAGTTCTCCCATCTAGACGCCATATAAATTCCCAATCTTTCACTTTTCTTTACTGTAATATCACATTTTCTGTGTTTGCGCTTCAGGAGAGGGAAAGTTGACCCTTTACTGTTGTTTTTCTACATATTCATTTTCACATAATTCTTTGTATAGCAGATGAAATGTCAAATCAGTTTTGCAGTGGAATGAGCCATGCTGGCGGGTGATCCTGCCAGTCCCCTTGTGTATAAACCCGTCCTGTTTGTTGAACATTCTAAGACTCATTCGACATTTCATGAACTTTACTTTTTGTTTAGGGTTGTAATGTGTGCATTCATTAAAGTGGACCTGAATTCAAAAAGTTTTGCTATGTTATAGGGAACGTCTGGTATGTTAGGGTGCGTAGGCACTTCTCTACCTAGCTTCATTGCTATATATCTGCAGTGTGAGATCTAAGACACTGTTGCTTGTCATTTTGTCATTGCTAGTTTGCTAGTTTCAGGAGATTTGAACTGAGACTTGGGGATGTCACTTTTGTGCTGCCTTGTTGGAGGCTCTGACATAAGAAAGAAAAGCCCAGTCTCTACAAAGATGGCCGCCTCCAAGTCCACACAGAGACAACGTGCAGAACAAGGCATGGTAAGTCAGTTAAAAGGAAAAGATCAGCTGCATAAGGATTGCAGGAAAGACTGGTGATTAGTTTTTTTGCCCTATACTTCATTATTTTGGCCATAGCTTCCAGTTTCTCTTTGTTGCCGAGGGCTGACTGTCCCAAACGTCATTAGCGATCCTTGCCAAGTGACATTCCACTGCCCATTGAGTGTGCCCTAACTGACTACTGAGCCATTCTCATTGGGCAGTGGAAAAGCAGTAGACAGGGTTTAGCCATGAAGTCAGGAAAAGCAAGCCAGGGTAAGAAATTGAAATGAAATCAAAGAGCCTTGTCTGGCTAATAGAGACAATACTAAGGACGGTGAGGTGTCTACTCCTGTGCAGGACTCTTAAAGCCTGTGCAGGAAAGTTTAAAACCGAGTACTGGTTCACTTTAAAGAGGATCAATAATGATTTTCATGTATTTCTTTTATTCTTTTTTGGCCAGGTAAATACGTGATCTTTATTTTATTTCAGTTCCACTTTAAATGGTTCTAATGTAAGTGAATTTGCCTAAAACTAGAAGGCTTTGGCCGGAGTTCAACTGTATTGGTAACGGTATCAGTATGACTGATTAGTGATGAAAGAGGAGAGTGGTGGTGATGTATACAGTATATCCACTGACAAACTTACCTTGAATGGTGCACATACTACTCCAATACCAGGTCCAGATAGCAAGCCTTGTATCTTAAAGTGCATACATATTTCTAATATATACATTGCTAGATACACCAGTCTCTTTTTTGCCCTTATATTAGTGAATCCAACTGATAATACAAGTAAACAGCTAATATGCAGTCTGTCATGCTGAATAACCAGTGTAGCACTTTGCACGAGTGAGCAGAGGGTGAGCCATTTGCATATTACAATTTTGCAGGATTTGGGGAGCCTATGGTGTATGAAAAGACAGGTGAACGTGTTTGCAGGCATTGAATGGTAACTATATTTGATTCTTCAAGCCAGTACAAGCAGTCCCCGAGTTACGAACATCCTAGTTACGTACGACTTGTACTTACAAAAACGGAGGTCCCAGGCTGTTCCGTGCACGTGCCGATGTTCGTAGTACTGGAGGGATCCTGAGTGGTAATAAGTATAATCACTCTAAGTACCAGTTAAACAGCCAAAGGATGCCTCAATGGATGCTGGTGGTGCATGCAATCAAGGGGGGTGGGGGTGGGGGTTAACCCTTCCCTGTGCTATCCAAAACTAAAAAATGTACCTGTTCCAACTTGCATACAAATTCAACTTAAGAACAAACGTACAGACCCTATCTTGTTCGTAACCTGGGAACTGCCTGTATATGTAATTTTTAAGAGTATTGAAATGGGAAACTCTGAGCTATTTATTCATTTGGGGTATAGGGTGATATAGGCAGCTAGTAAGTGTGCCTACCCTCAAAACAAAGCTGTGAATTTCCTATGTCAGTTTTCTTCTGACATCTGTATCCTTTACATACAGTACATGAAACTTCCCTGTCCTAGTACCCTAATTATCTATAACAAAAATGAAATTCTTAGTTTTTGTAAATTTGAAGCAAAATCTATAACATAAACCTCAGAATGAATGGGTTCATTTAAGTTTAAGTGATAAACGTCATATTACACACAGATATCTCATGCAAATAGTTTGTGTTTTCAGTGATTAAAATGGAAATTTATATTTGCCTTTTTAAATTCCTCATCTTTGCAGCTAGTGGCTTTTACTTCACTCTTCTTCATCCTGCTGTCTATTACTACTTTCTGTTTGGAAACTCATGAAGCTTTTATTGTGGACATAAATATAACACAACTTGTCATAGTGGGAAATGTGACAGAAACCCTCGTGGTGCAAGAAGTGGAAACAGAACCCATTCTAACATATATAGAGGGGGTCTGTGTTTTCTGGTTCACGTTGGAGTTCCTGGTTCGAATTGCCTGCTGTCCAGATAAACTGCTTTTTATTAAGAACATGCTAAACATCATAGACTTTGTAGCCATTCTTCCATTTTACCTGGAGTTAGGTCTTAGTGGGTTGCCATCCAAGGCTGCAAGGGATGCTCTAGGATTCCTACGCGTAGTACGCTTTGTCAGGATACTGCGTATCTTCAAATTGACAAGACATTTTGTTGGGCTACGAGTTCTTGGACATACCCTTCGGGCTAGCACCAATGAATTTCTTCTTCTAATCATCTTTTTAGCTTTAGGGGTTCTAATATTTGCAACTATGATCTATTATGCAGAAAGAATAGGTGCAAAAGCATCAGATCCAACTGGAAGTAATCACACGCACTTCAAGAACATCCCAATAGGGTTCTGGTGGGCTGTAGTCACTATGACTACACTTGGATATGGAGACATGTATCCACAGACCTGGTCTGGCATGCTGGTTGGTGCCTTGTGTGCTATAGCTGGAGTACTCACAATTGCTATGCCTGTTCCAGTTATTGTGAATAATTTTGGAATGTATTATTCTCTTGCAATGGCAAAACAAAAGCTTCCAAAAAAGAAAAAGAAACACGTCCCTAAGCCTACTCAGCTGGACTCCCCATCTACAGCTAAATCGGAGGACTCCTTACATCGTACCAGCACTCAAAGTGAATCCTGTCCGTTGGCAGTAGAGGATGTTACAGAGAAGAAGACAGGTAAGATGCAAAGCAAACTTGTGCAATGACGTAGACTGATAATGGCAATGCTGCCTTTTTAATCAGACATCAGGTAACTAACTAACTCAATAAGAAAACAATACAGATACATGGTAATATAATGTCATTTCTGAATTACTGTTATGTGTAGAACATACAGCTAAAGAGAATGAAAGAATGAACCGAGGTTCTTTACTGTCACTATAACAATACAGTACACTTTGAATGTGAATGTAATTAGATATCACATCTTTTTTTTAATCTCTGCTCTTAAACATTTTTCAACATGAAATAAGTTGCTGAAATAACATAATCCTGGCCAGGCACAGAATGATGCGATTGTTCAATAAAATGATAAATGCTGATCATTTTTGTTGAAAAAGAATGACCAGCCTAGCACAGATCCAGCATTCAGCCAAATCATTTGATAATATAATGAAGTCAAATATTATGGTTATATCATTGTTTATCCTTACATGCATGGCCAGCATCATATCTGACTGCTATGGTAAATAGATGTAAATGATAGTAGTACTCCAAACAGAACCTTTTGTATTCTATTTTTTAATAGCAGGTAAGTAGGGTTGACACCTTTTCTTCAAGCGAAACCCGAACACTCTAGCGACGCACACAATTTTTTTGGGGAAAATGAGTCGTGGCTTATTCATATGTAAATAGTGCAACCCATTCATATGTAAATATCACAGTTGAGACTACTTCCAGTGGGGGGCCAGTAGCTCCTAGCTTAATTTTGGTTGCCCCTGTCTCCCTGACATCTTGTGTCAGGGTTTTTGCGGCCATGAAACCCAGACACAGCATTCAAAACCCAGACTGTCTGGGTGAATCCTGGACAGGTGGCAACCCTACAGTTAAGTATTACAACCACTGTAAGCTTTATATAACGGTGTCCTCACTGGGGAGATTCCTGTTTACTTCCCATTTGGATGACCACACAGGTAATTCATGGGAACACAGACTAAAATAACATTTGACACCGGTTCTAAACCTACCCCACCTTATTCAAAACGTAGTTTCCTTTTTAATTTGGGCATTAATGTCAAATTAAATTTCAACTCCAACCAAAACTTTTTATTTTGTTTGGATCGAGTGGACAAGGATTAGAGCCAATGGCAGGTTTTTATTGCTGGTTTGGGGAGATTTTTCTTCACTTCTTGTGAAGACAGGAAGAAACTTTTCATTCGGGACTCCAATGGCGTGGGAAGGGCTAGAACTTCTGACAATGTTTTTATTGCTTTCTGTACCATCCTGTTATGGGGGAAAATTCTTGTATTCCTTTTAAGGTAATTACAGAGAACAGAAGTGAGGAAAAATCTCCCAGTGGGGTCATAGACCGAAATAAAGAGAGAACAATTTTAACTCTTCCCCACTCTATCAAAATATTTCTTTACAAATAGATTTTGATGACTAAATAGAATATTAATTCTTGAAATTCAATATCATGTACACATATGCAAATATTGATTAACCTTCCATTTCTCTTTAGTGCTCTATTTCTTCATAGCGTTGTTATGTATAACTTTGTTTTAACTATAATTAGATTGTTGCTGAAATGCAGTGCAAACATCGTTTTTAAATAAAGGGGTTAATTTACTGAAGGCAAATAGGCCGTTTACTTTGCAAGGGAATTTGGACTTAGAAGGGGAAGTTGGCCCTTAGTTTAATGAATGAGGGGAAGCTCATACTTTTTAAAAAATCTCCTTGCACATGATTGGGTTTTCTTTACAAAAGTGACGTTACACCACATTCACAAAGCTAAGGGAAATTTCCCCTGCAAAGTGCAAATTCCCTTGCAAAGTGAACTGCCTATTTGCCTTTAGTAAATCAACCCCAAAATGTCTATACTTGACATGCATATTAGAGATGGAAATAAAACTACTTGTTAGTGATTGTTGAATGAGGTAATTGTTCATCACTGAGTGTTGCACAAATAGCTTTGTTTTAATTGCATATAGTAGCATTGAAATACAAAAGTATTGATCTGTATGCATTCTTATTATGATATTATTAATCCCTCAACTTCACTAGGCCTTGGCACCTTTTGCCATCAATCTTGTGTCAGGGGAGTCCAGGGTCTCAGGTCTGTGACCTACACCCTCATAGGTGTGACCCAAGGTACAATGGCGTCCAGCAGCATCAGTGGAATTCATACTTTAGTAAATCGGAGGCTCAGTCGCAAAGTTACTGGTTTTCATACCATGAGGAACGCAAAGGCTGTAGCTATACGGAAAAGTGATTTTCTATTGTTTGTAAAAGTTATAAGATGTACCCCACATTTCCCATCTATAAAGCTCCTGGGATTCATACTACAGGAAAAGAAGGAATCCCAACCAAGATACATCCAATACAGACTAAGAAGACGAGTACAGAAGAATTAGGACAGGGACTTAAAGGAAACCTTAAGAAACCATAAGATAACATGGAGGCTGCCATTGCTGATTTTTTTTTTTTTTTTTTTGGTATTGCTGTTTTTTTGCAATGCCAATCCAATTACTTTAGTTCTTTCTGAGTGACTGATCAAGTATGCAGATCAGATATACCTGAATACTCTTTTCCTGATCTGAATGGTTTTTCAATGTCAATAAATCAAACATGAATTAAAGACAGAGTGTGGTACCTAGCATTTTCAGAGGGAGGTCAGGAATGGCAGCCTACATAGCAATACTCCATGTTTAATCCAGGCTGCCCCCTGTAATACTCTATTTTCACCACAGCACGTCCTCAGTCATCTGGGTTGAATGATGCCCAGCGTCACTCAACTAAGAAAACGGAGAAAGTATAACAGTAGGTAGGGAGGTGCGAGGTAAGTGGGTGGCACCACACCCCTATAACTGATAAAGACAAGCAAGGATTGGCTGCAATTGAGCCTGGGGTTTTTTCAAGGTGCCACAAAATACATACAGCTACAGGTGTGAGGTATAATTATAAAACCTTCTTTATTTCTTAGAACAAGCTGAAAACATATTAAGATACATATAAAGGCCATGTCAAATAGTCAATACAGAGTAGATTTGGGATGAGCAACCGTATACATATCTAATACCCCCATTCAAAAAAAGGGTATGTGGCAGGTTATTCTGAGGTTTGACGCATTTTGGACCAAGCGGCTTTTTTGTTTTTTTTTCTAATTTCTCTAGAGAATGCTAGAGATTGAGTTGGGAGCCAGAGATCGCTCTCACTAGAACTACTTACTGTATACATGGACTGGCACCCTCTGTCTTTTCATTTATTTTTTTTCATACTGGCTGATTCACATATATTATACAGCTTCAGGAGGATTTTTGTTTGATTCTCCATTACCCTCATTGGGAGCCATGTATGGAGATTAACCTCTCTTCCCCCTCCTGTGTAGTTTGGAATTTGAGTGGTGAGTGTGATATGATTTCCAGACGCTATTTCTGGTGAATAATTGATTCATATTATATGATAAAAAGGAAATGTATATATAGATATTTATAT